GACGAAAGTAGAAAGTGTAAAAAGAATACCGGAATTGAACGAAAGTGAAATGAAAAAGAATCCGGAATTGGACGAAAGTGAAATGAAAATATTCCGGAATTGGATGAAAATGAAATGAAAAATATTCCGGAATTGGATAAAAATGATGAAGTGAGCAATGTAAAGATATTTTAATGCGATTAATTGCAACCATTTATTAACGGAACGAAAAATTAGATGAAATTTTGGATAAATTTAGGATAAAAAACAAAAAGTAAATCAAACAAAGTTATATTGTTGAAATTAGCATAGAAGAAGAGAGTTTTTATCATCATTAATTGATAAATTTTTGGTGTAAATTAGTATGGCATATAATTTTTTTCAGATTACTACAGAAAGTAATAAAAGTGGAAAGTTAATGAAAGAAGAAAATTTACGAAATAAATCTGATGACATATTTTGGAAACATTTCCTTCATATTAACGTACCGTAATTCTTATTTTCATTTTTCACATTGTCATCTTATTCTTAGCTTTTTTTTTTGTAATTTTAAGATTAGAAATAACATTTGAATATGAAATATTCATTTTTAGGAAACGGAAAATACAACACAAAGTTCAATTAGTGATTTGAAAGAAGTGGTCACAACATTGAATCTTTCGGAAGCGCAAACTGCCACTTTTGTAAGAATTATTGAAAAAGTAAGATTTTGTTTTTAAATTTTGAAACATTTTAGAAATTTTGCAAAATTTTAACATCATAAATTTTATGTAAAAATTTATTGCAGATCGTTGATGAGGAACTTAAAAGACGTCATGATGAAGAGGGGTCAAAGTTGAAATTTATTGAAACATCAGAAAAACCAAAATTAGCTGCTGCCAATTCCTATGAACTCAATAGTGAATCTGTAAAAATTGCTTTTCATTTTTGTACAAATAAAACTTTGAGTGTTTTAGTTTAGTTCGTCAAATATTAATCGGAAAATTTCCACCGCGGTATTTATTATGATTTCCGAGTGTAAAAAATCGATAAGAAAGAAAGAAATTATTGTTAGTGCAAATGATTGATTATCATATCATAGAGGGGATTGATAATTTATAAAGGTAAAGTTAGAGGATATTTCTGATAATCTCATCAATCGGTTTGGTTGATAGAGAACAGATCAAAAATTTCATTCTATCAGCTTGATGGATCAATCTTTACAAATTCAGAAAACCGATGATCGTTACGAAGAAGAAATTAGACCGCATGAAAAACTTACGGTAAATACCCGTTTAAGTTTTAACGATCAACACATCATTGATGATTACCGGAATGTGCAAGAGGAAATTCCGGAAGCATTAGCTGCAGAATCATTGAAATTAGATTCTCGAAAACAAGGTTAAAGATTTTCAATTTAAAATTTTACAGCAGGTTTGAAAAAACTATTAAAATCGTCTAACTAGCATAATCAGATAATTTCAGATATGGAAACGACAAATATTAGCCTAAAGAATAATAATTAAATATTAGTTAAAATTTCGTAATAAGTTCAACGATCAGTGATAAATGGAACAGAAGTGTTGTAAATTAAAAAATTAGCAAAGATATAGTAATTATCTGCAATAAGAAATTGAATATTGAAATAATGATTAAAAGTAAATTAGGATAGGTATGAATATTAGTAAATAAATTGAATGGCAAATGAAAAAGCAACGGTTAATTCAACATCCATACTAATCAAAGATTTTAATTAAATTTTTATCACTTCATTTGTGTTCATCTAAAGTCTGTTAAGAGTTTTGTATGCGTGATAATATGAATACTTTCTGATAAATGAATATCCAAAAGTGATCAGTGGAAATTTTTACTCCTTTTTTTTAATTTTTTTATAAAATAATTAAATGATATGCAATGTAAAAATGTTGAATATCATTCAATTTTGGACGAATTAATTTTAATTATCAATAATTACCCTTTGTATGAAATTAAAAATTGATTTATTTCAGCTAGGAAGAAAGCAGATTATGTGGCACGTGAACAAGCTGAATATGACCGACTGATAAGCGGAATAACTGACACAACACCAAGATTAGAATCTGATTATCTGGAAACTAAAGCTGATCAAGGTGCTAATCAAAGACTGATAAGGACGACAGTTAAAAGTATAAGTACGGAAGAAGCACAAAGTATGTCAAGTATTTTAAATTATTTGCAGAATTTAGCTTGAAAATGATAATTAATGATAAGATATAAAATTGTATTACTCAATTTTCCATCTAATTTGCTATATTACTTGCGTGTTTAACTTTTTGGCTAAAATTTCCTATTAATTTTAGGAATTAAATTAAAGACAAATTGAATAAAACGAATAATATCAGTTAAAAAATAAATTTTAAAATTTTGCTTAAATCAAAAAAAAAATTTCAAATTCTGCTGTCTAATAATTTTATCGTTACATTCAAAATTCCGGTTGTATTTAAATAAATAAATTTAACATTATAATTGAAACTATTTGAGCTCTCTAACAAACTAGATAATGAAAAATAAAATTTTCAGCTAGCACTCCAACAGGATTACAACCTGAAAAAGTTGGATTACAACCGGTCGAACGATTTTACATACCAAACAGAACAACCATAATTTACGGAAAAGTATTGAGTTTTGAAAGTTATATGAAATTTTTAAGATATATCTTTCATTAATTTCTTCCATTTCATTAATTGTCACATTAGAAAGCTTTAATTTCTAAAAAAAAAAAACTTTTTTTGAAAAAATTTTTAATTTTATTGAAAAAAAAAAGAAGCAAAACAATTTATTCCAGGTGACATCGTTTCCAAGGACAGTTTTTGAACGACAGGCAGAGGATTTTCGAATTCGACTGCTTGGAATGAACGGTTTTGGTGATATTATTAAAGCATTGAAGCATGCTAAAATCGGTTTTTTTGAAAGGTTTTTGAAAATTTCTGAAATTTTACATTTGTTTTTTTTTTTTGATTCTCAGATTGTCGCATTACAGAAATGTCATTCCTTAATGATTTATAAACATATCTGTCAATAAATAATTTATCTTGATGAATCATATTTCAGGAACTGATTGATGGGATGACATTCTGTGATCAATGGTTGATAAAGAGTTAAAGATCATCTGATCTTATTTGATCGAAAAGTTAGCTTATGAGCTTTTTCTAATTTATCTTACAAAATTTTATCTTATACATGCATTTTTTTTTTTTGTTGTAAATATATATATGATTGTCAACAAACTTTTTGAAATAATTTCGAATTATTATCTTTTAAAATAATTTCTTCCATTTTTCAATACGGTTAATCCAAATACCAAAAATCAGGAAACATTTGTTCCCGAAATTATTTAGTAATTCTGAACGTTCAAGAAAATGAAATCCGGAATTCATCGTATTCCATTTTTGGATTAACGGATAAATAGCCTCACAAGAAAAGATTCACAATGTTAAATCAACAAATTATCAGTATTTCTGAAGTATGGCTATGAAATATGCAACAGACTAGTTTACTAAATTTTTATTATTCAAATGTTTCAAATGTATACAATAAGTTTTGCGCAAAGGTCAAGATAACATTCATGAATTTATCTTGTAAAAAGGTCAAACCAACTTTCGCGATTCTTCCTTTGACCTGAGGTTGTATGATAATTCAAGACAATTCTCGATTACATCCCATTATTTGATATTTTATCAATTCCGGTGTTTTTCATTCATTATCAAAGTTTTTGCTTATTCTTTCTTGCTTAATTAATTAATCAGCTATTGTATTTAGAAATGATCGCTACTGTAATCTTAGTTGTTTCCATTTTACCTTTAACTCTGCCATGCAAATTATTCCTCTCCATAAATAATGCTTTAGTTATGAATGTAGAAACAGATATCACTAGATTTGATGATCAAATTTGTGGTCAGTTTCATCTGATAGAAACAGAATCCCAATTGTAACAACAAATCTTGGCTACTACTTATGCTTTATATTTTTTCTTTCGCATTATTTGTTTTTATGATCAAACATTATGTTAAATAATTGTTTGCAGCTAATATTGCAATTGCTGAATTGGACATTTGAGAAGGACAATGTCCATCCATATATGAATCAATCAATAATTGTTGATAGATCGCTGCTCAAATATCTTTTAGTTTGATATCATATCAACAAATCTTATGATATGTCACAATTAGAATTTGCAATAAATTTTACATTTTTTCAAACAAACAATGTCACATAATGAATTAATTATATTATAAATAAATGTGTAAACTTAAATTTTCAACTTTTTTTTTTGCTTGACAATTATTGCGACATTTATTGTTTAAATCACAGATTACTCCAAAAATTTCACATTTTAACAATTTGTGCTTTAGAGTAAGCCAAAAATATTATCATTCTTTAGCCGTTGAAAATGCGACATTACCGCTTATTTCGCTTACTTTGCAAAAAAAAAAAAGTGTCAACAAAATTTAAAGTAAACTAAGGAAGAAAATATTATCACTGCTCAAAATAATCAATGTTAAAAGGAAAGTATTTTATGGCAATACTGAAATAAATGGTGAAATTACTTTCAATCGTTCATTAGCTTTAAAAATTGAAAGCATTTCAAAAGTCAAGAAACACTTAATTCGTTCCCGAGAATTTTGAATAACAATGACAAGAATAAATGGCTATCATCGGAAATGCGACAATGCGACATTATCACGACATTTTTTCCATTGACTTAAATGATCACATACAGTTAATGTATGATGTTAATAAAGTTAGGTATGGCGGTGAGCTTTTTGCTTTCTTCTAATATGATCAAAAATTATTGCATTACATTTCTGTGGTGATAAATTTGAACGATTTTTTCATGGAAGTGAAAAAGAACAGATGCTAGAGTAAATGAGAAAAGTTTCAGCTAAAAAAATTGGAATTGGAATTGGAATTGAAATGAGAATTGATATTTTATTTCATTTTATTTCTAATATCTAACTTCTTTCCTTCTCTTCACTTCATGCTGATATATTTACTGATCAGTATTGACTGATGGTTTTGAGATATGAACTTCAGCAAGGTATTTCCTATGATCTCCTATGATTCAAGATCTGAAGCAAGTGCTTATCAATATCATGCATGTATGCATGTGTGCATGCATGCATGCATGCATGATATATTCTCTTTATTTGTACATAGTTTCATGGGCAAATATGATGAAATGATTTGAAAAGTGAAAATTGAAATGTAGATGGAAATGGTCTAGGCATGGATATGTAACTGTAATATATGTAGTTTATAGTTTTTATCAGTACAGTATCACTGTATCGTTTGCTGGATTGTTCGATTTTAGTTTAAAATTATTTTACCAAATTGTTACTGTTACTATCAAAAAAGGATTATTTGTGAATAGTTTGTTTCTGAAAATTTCTACCTGTCACATAAGATTGTCACATAAAAATCACCTGAAGTTGCCACATAACTAAATTCAGCTTTATGTTTTATTTTTTTTTACTTTATGATTAACATTTTCTTTTTTTCACAACTTTTGTATTTCACAATTTGAAATTTCATAATTAAATTCAATTTTATTCAATAATTATTGAATTGATTTTAAAGTTTGAGGAGGAATTTCATTGAAATTTTATCAACAAGTTTTATCACCTGTCAACAGTTATCATTATTGTAGATTTCATTTGTGATATCTTTTAATGCTTCTAATCATATTTTAACTATTAAAATAACTATTATTCAGGATTTCTACCATGCTAGTTTCTCTCGAAGTTAATAATTGCTTGAAAAGAAATTGAAGTTTCATTTTGTCTATCTGTTAAATATTAGCAAAACAATTCTTGAAAATAAATCCAAGAGGAAAATTTTGTTTTCGAAAAAATACAAATAGTCCATTTCAATCAATAATGTATATTAATCTAAAAATCAATCGATATTCTATGTTTACACATTTGTTCGATAATTTTTTTTTAGTTAACAAAAGTATTTTTGTTCCATTTATAGCCATATTTTTTTCATTGGAAGTATAAATTTTAAAATAATAAAATTTATGTTGGGAAATTCTAATTCTATTGAGATAAGACATTTTAAATTTATTCAAATGAGTCCTTACTTTTTTGATTAAGCAAATTCTTTTGACAACATTTTTTTTTTTCTCAAAAGAATGAAAACAATTGTGAAACCTTTCCTATTTTTGAATTTCATAATTTTAATTAGGAAAGGTCAATCTAATTAGGTTATTCATATGAGCATAATTGAACTAAATTGGATAAGCGAATGACTGTCCCATGTAATTACCACGATAATATATTTTTTACACTGCTAATTATCTTACCTTTTCGCGTAATAATTCCTTTTAACTAATTAATATAATCGTAATTTGTTATAATTTCATTATTTTTGTAATTTTTTTTCTGCAAATTGATCCAAAAATGTAATTATTAGTCAGTTTATCTAACAAGTACAATTCGAGTTTATTTCTATCTAAATTCAAGCTATTTCATTAATAATGATATTAAAAGATTTTCTTATTTGATTTGGTCAGTTCTTAAATAATCATACATTTTTTCGAATGACCAACACACTCTTTGAGTGACCATGGAATTTTTTCCTGGAAACAAATTAAAGGATGCAAACATTTTCAAGGAATATTCCTTACAGAGTGATTGATGACTGTCCTTAAATAAAAGAAAATTCCATACTTCATGAAGAACAGTTATCACAAATCTTTCTATGAATGGAATTATCGGGAAATGGATGCAATTGTTGCTCTATGAAGATATTTCAAATTTAAAAAAGTATCAAAATTGTTTTTTTTTTGTTTGAATAATATTTGAATGAATTTATTTAGGGTCAAGGGTTAATTGCTTTATTCCTGAAATCGATGTTAATGATAATTTTATTTTGAATGATTTCCGCTTCTCTTCTATGATTCATTGAATTTCATCATTTAAAACATTAGGAATAAGCATTCATCTTTTCTTCTAACTGAATCTAACTTATCAAATGAGATTTCAATTTCCCTAAGTTAAATCTCATTTAGAATTATTTTAACTTTCACTAGAAATTACAATCAGACATAGAAGTCACATACATCCTTTAGTTCGACTTTTAAATTGATAAATTAAACTTCAACTTATGAAATTTCTCTATTTCTAGTCTTTTCCTCTCACAAGTTTACTGCAAAATTGCTATTGCTACATTACATTCTTCATTTTAAACTACTTTATAATTTAAACTTTCACCTTAGATTACTTATAGTTTATACTCGACTTCAAATTAGCACAAATTTAGTAATAAATTTTTGAAATAATCTTTAAAATAGTTCCTGACAAAATCTGTCAACTACCTGCTTTTGCAATGTGTCATATTGAGTAATTATCTGTTGTAAGTTGAATTATTGAATTGTGATTTGATTTCAGTGACCTTTTATTTATCATCAAGTTTAAATAATTCGATCTAGAAAAACTTATTTCAGTTCAATTTAGCATATTTTCATTTTAAGTAAAATAATAATATATAGAGTGAGCAAACTTGTCACCTTTTCAGATTGCGCTATCTTTTGCAAATATTTCATATACAATTCAATTTGTTCACTTGTTTCTTTTTCATTTTATTTTTTTGTTTTTCTTTTTTTGTTTATTTGTTGTTTTATTTATTTGTTTATCATTTTTTTCTTTTGTTTTTGTTGTTTTGTTTATTTGTTGTTTTGTTTATTTGTTTATTTGTTTATTTACCAATTTGTGCAATATTTTGAGATATTATTGCATCATTAAGTTGAATAATCGACAATTACTCGCTTAAATTTATGTAAAATGTCAAACTGTCATAAATTATTTGTTGACTGATAAAAAAAGAAGAAAAATTTTAATATTTAGTTGTGTTTAAAGAATTTGGAATTTTTGCGTTGCTAATTGATTGACGCACAATGGCAAAAACAATATCAATTATTAATATTCAATGTAATGCTAAAATTCCATCTATGAATTGTAATAAAGACGGTAAGTTTTTGATAAATTTTTTTTCT